ACTCACTCTCTAACTGACGTTTGAAGCTTGGACTTCAATATGCTGTCAAACTAAAAGCCTACTCAGATAATCCTGCCTACAGCTGTGTTTTTAATCCAATTTATGAAGATATTTTTGCAAAACATGAAAATAAAATTCCTCCGTTAGGTATACGTTGAAAACCACATTTAGCTTCTTTTGATTTAAAATCTGTTGCTCAAGTTGAAACTTGCAAATGTCCTCCATGGGAACTTCCCAAACCAAAAATGATATTTGATCTCCGTGAACACAATAAAAATAAAACAAATCCTCTTTTAATTCAGCAACACTATGCTGAAATCAAAGCCAATTATTCAGATTTTTCAACTGTATTTACTGATGGATCAAAAGATGGTGACAGAGTTGCATCTGCTGCTGTCTTCAAGGACAGAGCTGCAACTCTCCGTTTGCCATCTGATGCATCGATCTTTACTGCTGAAGCAGAAGCAATAATTTTGGCTTTGAAATTTATTGCTTCTTCAGATAAATCCAAATTTATTATATGTTCTGATTCACTTTCATGCTTACAAGCTATACAAAATACTAAAATTAAAAACCCAACAATTCTCAAAATTTTATATGTAATGAGGAATTTAAAAATTCTTCTTAAAGAAATGTTATTTCTATGGGTGCCGAGTCATGTTGGAATCCTTGGAAACACAGCTGTAGACCTTGAGGCAAAGAATGCCCTGGGTGACCCTTTATCTAACTGTGATATACCATATGCCGATTTTAAATCTAATATTAGAGAATATATTTTTAATATATTGAAAAATGAATGGAGTAAAAAAGATGGTAATAAATTACATGAAATTAAACCTAATTTATGTAAACCTTTCAATAATTTTATGTGCAGAAAAGATCAGTGTGTTATTTCTAGATGTCGTATTGGTCATACTAGAATAACACACGAATATCTTTTAAAAAATGAAGTAGAACCACAATGTATACCTTGTAACTGCAAGTATACTATTAAACATGTTTTAATCAATTGTATTGACTTTGCTGATATTCGTAAGAAGCATTTCAATGTCAATAATATGTATGATTTATTTAATAATGTTTCATTTACAAATATTGTTTCATTTTTAAAAGAAGTTGGAATATATTCTAAAATATAAAAATGTTATTATATTTAAAACGATTTTAAATTTTATCACGTTATCTTAATGTTCATTTTTATTTGTAAATAATCAATTTGCTTTAATCTAGAATTTTAGTTTATTGAAGGACCTTTTGTCTGATTTTAAGAATATGCTTTAAATTGTAAAAAATATTCGAATTAGCTCTCGCCGCGATATAGCCTTGTTGTGCTAATGCGGCGTAAAGCAACCAACAATCAATCAATCTTTACTATAAATTATAAACAACTTTTATTATCACAAAGCCAAAGTTCAAAACTAGAATATTTCCCCTAGCAAAGGAGCATATGCTTTACTTTTAAAAGATAACCACAACAAAAAATGCACAGAAAAGATCTTGAAAGCCCCATTTATACACATTGCTATTCCATACACACTTCATAATAATATGTTTTTATTAATAGACAAAGTTTCGACGCAATACCGATTCAAAGTTCAACAATTATGATTTTTAGAAAGAACAAATCATGCATGACATTATTAAGTCTATAACTTATGGAGTTGTTGAATTGTTAATAGCTAATTATTTTTGTCCTTTACGAACTCAGTGACGGCGCTACACTTTTTTTCATAACTCCTTTATATTCAATACGATTTAGAACTCTTCAACCTCGTACTTTACTTGGCCTTTTTAACCTTTTTTGATTTTAGCGTCATTGATAATTTTTTATAGACGAAACGCAAGTCTAGCGTACACAATTTTAGTCCTGGTATCTATGATGACTTTAAAAATAAGTGAGCAAGTGAGACAACTATCCATAAAAGTTCAAATGAAGTGGATGTAAGCAATTATAGGCAACAGTACGGCCTTCAACAATGAGACAAACCTTTCCTGTATAGTCGGCTATGAAAGGCCCCTACATGAAAAATATGAAGTTTATATGAGTTTATATGTTTATAGACACATATCAAGTTTTATAAATTCCAGTAAAAGTATCACAATCATAACTCCTGAAAGTAAATGTCTTGAGTTTTGCTAAACATCAATGTTTTAACTGCAACAATCATCGCCATGACGGCAAACATTTAAAACAGTTGATGCAGTAACAAAATATTGCCCGGACTATAAAAAGAGGTCTTAATTTTTTACATCAGATTTCGACATCATTTTAAGTTTTTTTCAGAGATTTGCCCCAAGTTTAAAAGAGGATACTTTATCAGTACTTTGTAATGGTATCAGTGAAAGGCGCTTTTTCAGACAAATAGTAGACCATTTGCGACCTAAAAATCAATGTACTTTACAAATCAACTAACTGAGTTCTAATTTTATTTATGACTCGTGTTTTTGTTATTTGTCATGTTTAATTTATGGTATATATCGGTAAGCACTCTTATGGACTGTTTTGTAATCATACCACATCTCCTTAAGGATGTTTGCTCCTCTGTAATAATATAACAAGCTTTTTAAAAGACTGTTATAAATGTAAAGTATATAAAAGTAGAAAAAAGTCAAAGGTTATGTCTTTATTTTTTAAGATAAAAGCCATTAAAAATTTGGCGGGAAATGATTTTCTCTAGATTGTTCATATATTTGACATTAGTACATTTTTAATTTGAAAAACTAAGAAAAAATAACAAGGATTTTTAAACTATTTGTGATTAAATTATGAAAAAAGTAGAGGTTAGCGGGCAAATTGTTTAATGGAATGGCACTACATGGATTTAACCAGAGGTTTCGCATATCTGACAAAAAGTCAAAAGCAAGACAAGCAAACATCCTAAATTGTAAACATTGATCCTTATTCTGAGTTTAACGGAAACTTGTGTCAAATGATTTTTTTTTTGTCTAGATATACAATGCATAATCACCAGTGTACACTAAATAAAATACTGCACTGTTCACAGGGTTAATTTTCGGCAAGCTTCCCAGTTTCTTACCTTTTCAAAGAAAACAGTAAAAAATGAATGATTCCGATATTCTAGCACAAGAAAAGTCGTTCCAGATTAATAGTTTAGAAAAGAAAATACATTAAACTTTTAAGAGCTTTACCACTAAGATATTTCAAATCCACAGGAAATAATGTCAACATATCGAGGAGCGTTTTGTACAGTGATTTAAACATCATTTGGAGCAGTAAGTCGTCATGATTTTGTTACGTCACTTCCAGAACGATTGCCTTGGTTCTCTTCAAATTAGCAAGCAAAAAGTATATATGACGTTTGATTGACAATTTTACGTCAAACTTTCACATTGAAATTGTGGTTAAAAATTTACGCAAAAATGTTCTTGCACTATTGTATTACTACTATTATTATATTAATGAAAATGTTATTATCATACTTAATCCATAGATTTCATACTGTAATACCAAAGTATGCTTATTATGCTTATTTATTTTACTTGCTTGATTATTGTGCCACAACATATATATATGTTAATACCTGTAAATTCACGAAGAAGAAAAAATTCACGCGCATAAAGCCTAAAGTCGAAAATTGACATTTTTTGATAAAGCAATTGACATGATTCAATTAAGTGTTCCAAATTTTGTCATTGTTTTTAACACATTGGTAATGGTTTTAATAAAAATTGATAAAATATTATTTTCACGTAAATATTGATAACTTGTTGAATGCGTCATTTAAAAGAAACGACTAACAATATGAACAAAATGAATAAAAAGCCTTTTGAACGAATTTCTGTCTTGTCTTTTGTGTACGTTTGTTGGTCTTTTTGTCTTTTTTTGTTTTGTTTTTTTTTTGCCATTGCGTTGTCAGTTTATTTTCGATTTGTGAGTTTGAATGTCCCTTTGATGTCTTTCGCCCCTCTACTTATGGGTGAAATCGATGAACCATACCTGAAACAATCTAACTTATTATTGGTACACAGAGACATTATAGCTGTGAATAATATAAATTATAAAGGCAACGCTCGTTTGTGCTGCCATTTAATGGGAATCTTTTTCGCCTACAAGTATCTCTTTTGGCTAGTTACGGACTATGTCAGGAATTTGCAGATGAGTGACATTAAGAGTAAAACGGAATAAACCAGTAAGTTTTAGGTACTTTAATCCTGCAATTCTATGAAAAAATATCCCTATAAGGCCTCGGAATATTGTGTTTAAAATTTAGTTTTAATACCACTAAGGCTTATAGAAAGATTACCCATATCTGATCATATTAGTGTGCAAACAATGTGCGACTGGACGACGAATGTTTGGTAAATGTCACGCTTAGTCGTAAGGGTTGTCATTAATGTTCTTGAGGCAGTAAGACAATGTCTGCTTTGTTGTTTTTGTTGTAGTTTGTTGTAGAGGGGTACATAAATCGAAAAATTCAATGATTTATCATCAAGTCAAACCAGCTATGCAGGGAAATCAAACGATTATAAAATGAAAACAACCAGACAATACTTTTTTAAGAAATTTTAATGTATCAATAACACGAAGGATTATAAAATTTACTTAACAGTTTCAACAACGTATTTCTTTGTGAACAGATTTTGAAAGAATTTTCATTTAACACTAGGGTCATTCAGGAAACCATAAGACAGACTTTCTTTATTATGTACGATCCAGAAAAGACAAGTAGTACTAATTGATTTTGAGTCTCATTGCTAGGTGAGCCAAATCTACTTATATATTTATCTTACTAAAATGAATTAAACAATCAATTAGGCGAACAAATATGTGTATTTAGTCTACAACAATTAAAGGGTCAGTTAGAAAATATTGTGTTTTTACCTTAATAATACAAGTACAGTGTACTTATACTGAAACCATGCCATTTTAACTATCTTTCTAAAAATATTTGACAAATGTGTCAATGAACCAAACAAGGATGTTTAAAACAAATTTGTTTTATATTTGTTTAGGTATTCGTAGGAAGCATTTCAAAGTCAATAATATGTATGATTTATTTGATAGTATTCCAGTTACACAAATTGTTTCGTTTTTAAAAGAAATTAGAATATATTCTAAAATATAAATATGTTGATGCAGTTTAAAATGCTTTTAATCTTTGCAATGTAGTCTTTGTGAATTTCATTTGTAAATAATTAATTTTGCTTTAAACTTGTGTTTTATATATTGAAGGATCTTTTGTCAGATTTTAAAAACTATCTTTCTAAAAATATTTGAATTAGCTCTCGCCGCGATATTGCCTTCATGTGCTGAGGCGGCGTAAAGCAACCACAAATTAAGCAGTCGTCAATTTATTTTGACTGTAACTAACATATTTGGCTCCTTCAATTGGACCATACATTAAATTGCCATTGCTATTTTGAGCAAATAACACACAATACTTCTGTGTCCTACTTATATGGCGGACATTTTAGTGACCCACACGATGTTATAACAGGATAAAATAATTTGCCATTATTGTCTTTAGATCCACCAGCTATAACGTCAGTGGCTTTATCTACGCATGCATATTCTGATGCAGCAACATGAACTGTTGATCCTGCCATCAAAATTCCATCGTATTCTTTTTTCCATCCATTGTAACAAGTTTGCTTCCTGAAATATTGTGTACATTGAAGTGAATAATTTCGCTTCTTTTAGTTTTAGTTTAAACATATTGTATTTGCTTAAGTATGCTAAAGGGATGAGACACAAGTTAATCATTGTGTTGCAGTAGAATATTTATAAAAGCATACATGTATACAGTACAATACAATACATACATTGGTTGTGTGGTGATATAAAGTGTTGCACAAAGTATGCACAGTATTATCATATACAAACACAAACCTTATTGATTCTTTAATAATTCAATTAATTCATATACAATTTAAAAATTGATTTCATTTTGATTATTAGTTAGTGACAAATGATCATAGACTCATATGTTGAAATCTAGTAAAAGTTCTCTGGTGACAAGTTCAGATTATTAGTTTGTATACTTAACATATTATCATAATTAAGACACACCAAAACAGGAATGACAAGAACCATAGCAAAAGGAGGATCTGAAATAATATTGACTGTATGAAGATAAATATCCAAAGAGGAAGATGTGCATCTACATTGAATCAAGATAATAATTAACATGTCCAAATGCATAATGTTAATAGGTAAATGGGATTTTGGATTCAATTAATTATTTTCTAATTTAGTTTTAAATTTACCTCAAGAGTCAATATACAGTTGTGCATATGCCATATTTGTAATATTAAATATTTATTGCTACCTGTAATAACTATTTTCACCGTAACGGTTATCTTCAGTCTTGCCAAATTAATATTTAACACACATTTTCCTTTGTTTAGAAAATCAGTAAGAGTTGAGTACCTATTATTTTGACGCTCAAGAGTGTCAGTCATCTACCTAAGGCAACAACACCTGATTACTTAAAAAATTTCTACAAACCATTTTCATATATAGGACTGACCTGGGATTCTATTCGTTCAAAGTTGTTTTCTATTTTTATTACATAATTTCCAAATAAATAGAAAGTTAGGAATATTTAGGCATCAGAAAACTCGAGACATTTACTTCTTAAAAATGTAATCCCTATTGATTTTCCTATTTTTTTGCAGTACATTATAGTTTTCTGAAAACTGAGGTAGTAATCATCAATTAAGAGGTAAATTTTTCATTTTTTCGTTTTGTAGGTGAAGTTTTTTCTTATTTCCCCAAAAAAGATTTATATCGATGAATCTATTGATTGCTTTTTGTACAAGTTTTAATTTTTTTAAGTGTTAATATTATGATAGTTATATTTTGTATACGGAAAGATATAAGATGTAAGGATTATACATGGGCAGAACGTCAAGTGTCATATCTGTTCTAAAATATTGATTTCAGACAAGATGGAAAACAGAACCAACCCCTACCAAAAAGGACAACAGATCCGTTTTATTCACGAGGCGATTCACCAGGAGTATGCGACATAAAATGGAGAGACACTTGGACCTAGCCTCCCTAAAATAAGAAATTACGATTATGGCAACTGATTAATTTGTATTAAGATTTTGTATTTCTATGCACATTACAGAATGTGAGTAAGAATTATTCTTTTTTGCCAACCCTCCCAATGAATTGTTTTCATCATTTTGTTTAATAGACAGAAAAAATGGTCCAGGATCTTTAGTTCTGTTTTAATACTTAGTAATTGTTTTTGGTGGTCGGAGGAGGCAAACTAGGCAGTGCATCAAATATTTCTTACCTTGAATTCAACGCACTGCTCTAACGTAGGTTTTAAAATATAATAACACACGAGAGTCAGATTTAAAAAAAAAGTGAAGTAGAAAAAAAAAACAGTCTCAAAAAGAAAAGTCCTTATCAAATGTCAAAATCAAAAGCTCAAAGAGATCAAACGAATTGAAAAAAAACTGTCTGAGACTATAGTCCTTTTTAAATAAAACGATTGATTGTTGGTTGTTTAATGTCCAGTGGCAAATACTTATTGCATGTTCAGGGCGAAAACAAATTAATAAAAAATACAATAGGTAGATCTGGAAAATGAGGGTATATTAGATAGGGACAGACATTTTGTCTTGCAACAGACAATTTTTAAACAATGTTCGTGTGCTTATCATTCATGTCTCATTGGCACTCATACCACATCTTCTTATATCTATGTCATAAGGAACTGTTGTTTATGGTTCTGTTTAGTTTTTTGTTATCTTAAATACATTTTTCCTCAATTGTCTGTTATCTGTTGAAAAGTTTCTTATCCGAGTGAGAATAAAAAACAATTTTTATCTTAATATTTTACCTGGTATCATAATTGATGATATTTTTCCTTTTGTTAGGCATGCTGCACAAGCAACGTCATGAATATATATACCAGATCTGATTCCTTCGGGTTTGTTTGCTTCACATATTTGGTATTCTGCTCCAAACAGATAAGCGTAACCGTCACCTTTTTTTAGCGGTAGTGCGACGTCCGGGTTGTCAGGTAAACATATGTAGTTTACGCTTGCCCCTGTGTGTGTGAAAAGACCATCACCTACTTGACCTGTTAAAAAATAAAAAAAGTAAATAAACAAAAAAATACCGAACTCCAAGGTAATTTTAATTTATTGTTTGTTTTCGTTTCATCTTCAGACTAAATAGACCAATATCGAGTTCCTTTATATGAATGAGTCTCACCGGTTGACCCGAGGTCAGTCGGCGTTATGACATTTTTGTACAGTCGATTCTTACTGTGACGTAAATTGTAATAACAGAAGCATTGACATTGGAAATGTACGAGATTATGCACAAATGCAATATCGGCTATACGAAACATGATTTGGTTTAAGATATTAGCTGAGCATGTCGCAGCAAAATGGAAAGAGAGAAATATAGATATAAACGATATGCTTAATTGATCTATTTATAATCTTGGTTTGATTATTTTTATGTGGGTAAATCAATTCACAATACAACTGTATAAAGTGTCGTATATTTTCCAATATCGTGTGGGAGAGAAAGTTTATAGAAAGTGTTTCGGTTACTTTATTGGGCATATGCAACTAGATGAATTAGCCATTATAATATAATAGAAGTGTGGAGATAGAACAGTAGAGTTCTGAAAAAAACTCGTCGAGTGTTGAAATCTCGTTTCATAGTAGTATAGGGAGATACACCATTGCACCAGAATATAAAATACAAAACTCTCTCCATTTTTATCAAAAGTGGACACAAAACACGCACGTTAAACAACACTTTAACAACTACATGTATGGGTGGTCCGTAGGTAACCTGTTGCAAGGCAATAACTTTGTCCCTAACTAGCGTACCTTCAATTTCGTTTTGCATTTCAAATTTCCAGCGTTTATCCCGGTCGACCCCTACCTTGCCGAATATACCCTCACATCAATCGCAGGTATTCCTACCTAAATAATATAACACTTCCGGTCTTACACATTGATAATCGTTGTTCATACAGGATCCATAATTATGAGGACAGTTAACTAGTCGAAATAGAGATATAATTGAACGCATATAAGTGAACAGCTCTGTACGGTTAACTTAAAAGACCGGAAGTATTATATTATTTAGGTAAGAATACCTGCGAAGCTAGGAATCTAGGAAATATTGATTGATGATTGTTTTCTTAGCAAATATTTATGCAAATTAAGAACGAAAACAAATTAACAATTGATGTGAGGGTATATTCGGCAAGGTAGGGGTCGACCGGGATAAACGCTTGAATTTGAATATTATATATCGCCTCGATTCTGATCATAACAATTTTGTTCTCTTAGTACATGTAGTATGTTTTAGAATTGTTGTTGCAAAAGCTTAAAAGATTAATTTGGAAAAGTGTGATGGAGTACTAGTAAATTTAACAGAACTGATTGAAATGAAGAATGTGTTGAAACCTAAATGTTAACGTTGTTATATTTGTTGTAAATTAAATATCAAATTGTTTCGATCGTACATTTTAGTATGATCTTAACGATTGGTTTCAGTCTAATCGACAGAATAAGACTTGATTAGTCCAATAAATTGTATGTAAATTGTAAGGCAGACGAATTATCGAATCGATTGTTATCAAGCGATTCAAAATAATAGCAACATCGATCGTTATCCTTTTTTCAATATTATATATAAGGCTTTCCAATTATCCGTGGAAAGATCAATTGATTTTGTTCTGATTATTATTTCTTTTTTCTTCTTCCGCCAAACCCTTTCCTTGCGGTATAAAGTTTTTTTGCAAGATTTCGCTTAGATATTTTGGATATTATATCGAACAGTTTTTGCGCTTTAAAAACTCATCTTGTTATGCCGAAGACTTTTTATTGTAAGAGTTATCTCCCCAGACACTGTTTTTTCTTGTCAGTGTATCTCCTCCGTAACCAAAAAAAATAACGAAAAAATTATTTTTCTGATTTGTTCTTTACATCTTCAGAAATTTTTGGCTGATTTGGATCTAAGAGATCCGTTGAAATCTTATAGGAGTTATCTACCTTAACCTAATAAATGTGTCGCTATATTTTTTTTGTAACTCATAAACTGTAAGCCGTATAAACGTAAAATCTTTTTATTTGAGATCCTTGGTTCCTAACTTAGAAAATTATGTCAAGGTCAAAGGTCAAATTCATGTTCTCAATTTTGACTTTTGCTTGTTTTTGCATTTTCTCTGACACTTTTAAAGTTATATATAAACCAACTAGTGCAAAATGTTTGTTATACTGTGATGAAGATATGATACGTTGGTCTGAAACAATCCAATGACATCTGTAATGTTTTATTTTAAGGTAAATTGATTATTACTTCAAATTGGTACATGATAAAGACAATAAGGTCTTTTTCAAAATGTTTGGTGACTTTGAAAAACATCAACTGGAAGTAACCTTGAGTGAACCGGAATTAGTAATGTTTGCACTTATTTATGGAAAAGTACGTAGAAACCATATATTTTTAAATGGGCATTCAATAACCTATCATTTGAGACCGGAAGTGACATTTTATAAACCGGACGTAGCAAATTATTTCCTAATTACAGGCATAAGTATATACAAACTATATTTTTTTTGAATCGGTATGAAAAAACCTATTATTTGAGATCGGAAGTGACATTTTATAAACCGGATATAGCCAATTATCTCCTTTTTTACAAGCACAAGCATATAAAAACCATATATTTTTGGAATCATTGTAAATATAGTTATCATTTGAGACCGGAAGTGACATTTTCTAAACCGGCAGTTGGTAGAAATCATATATTTGTTAAATCATTATAAAAAAAACCTATGATTGGAAGCCAAAAGTAACTGAGTAAACCGGAAGTAGCTTCTTATCAGTTATTTAGAAAATTGATGTGGAAAGAAATGGAAAGACCTTTAATTGTTCTCTGAACAATTGGTTTTTATTACCTTTTCTTTTATTGTCAATGGTTTTTAGTGGTTGTTTATATTTATATGTGTTATGATTATATAAAAAAAAAATTACGTGCAAAATTACTTATCAAAAGGACAACTGGTGTAGTGGGACCAGTAAAAGTGTTTTACCTCTATAACTATAATGATTAAAAGTTATTTGAAAACCACAATCGAATATTTGAAAACAAAATATGTTAAACTTCGATTTTGAATATACAAGCAAATACACATTGTCTTATTCAATTATTTATGGAGAGAACTGATTAGAATCTTGTTTCACTGATATTTAGAAAAAATGATAATCTGTGCAGCATATTGTTAAGAATAGTATGGAAGAAATCATGTACATTTTAAATCTTAAGCTCTTACCGTGTACCAATTTTCAGATGTTCCACATAGTCACATAGATATAGGAAGATGTGGTATGAGTGCCAATGAAACAACTCTCCATCCAAGTTACAATTTATAAAAGTAAATACATGATATAAATTTTCGAAAATATCTTTTTACCACAACTTACTTTTCCGGCACGTCAGTTTGCTCATCATCATGATGTATTTGCATTTAGCGTTACATCGGATTAAAGTCGGTTTAAATTAGTCTAGGAAATTAAATCAAAAATGTTAATCTTTGTTGCATATCAATCTATTTGGTTGATAATTGTTTTATAAACTTTTTTGATCTAGCTGCGTATACGGGGAATTTGCATGCTACAAAAAGCATCAACATTCACAGAAAACAACAACAAAAAATCGGTAGATACGAGAGGAATGTATTTGCATAGCGGTATTTTAAATGAATTTTACACAAAACTGCTATAAAAATGCTTTCCTCATAGTTTACCAGATGTAGAGAAACATGATAACTTTGGATATTACTTTTAACCAGACCATGAACTTCATATTGAAAAGTGTTCGGGTGAACAGGGTGAGTTTCAAAGTGCAATAACAGTTCGATATCAAATGCACTACATGTATATCTATTGGCATATTGCGAGACGTAAGCGACATTTCAGATAAAAAATAAAGTGGTGAAATAAAAAATAATAGTCAGAACAAAAACACGGAAAGTTTGAAAGCCCTTATACACATGCATTAGTAGAAGAAAAAAGTAGAAGGTTTTCCCAGCAATCAGTGGGTCGTATGGTGATTTTCTAAAACATTTGTACACTAAAATGTATGCAATTTGGAGACGTTTCTTTTAAGTCCTCGCTCTCCAATGAATATAACCCTCTATTAATTTCGTGCCTTTGGAAAAGCATTTCTCGATTTACTTTCATAAGGAATGCTTGAACACAAACATTTTGAAAGCCAGGAATTAATCAAATCGCATAAATGGTAGGGCTTTTATGACTAAAAGGTCCCTTAATAGAAAAGCACTACATGTATGTCTATTGGCATATTGCAAGACGTAAGCGACATTTCAGATAACAAATAAAGTGGTGAAATAAAAAAAAATAGTCAGAACAAAAACACGGAAAGTTTGAAAGCCCTTATACACATGCATTAGTAGAAGAAAAAAGTAGAAGGTTATCCCAGCAATCAGTGGGTCGTATGGTGATTTTCTAAAACATTTGTACACTAAAATGTATGCAATTTGGAGACGTTTCTTTTAAGTCCTCGCTCTCCAATGAATATAACCCTCTATTAATTTCGTGCGTTCGAAAAGCATTTCTCGATTTACTTTCATAAGGAATGCTTGAACACAAACATTTTGAAAGCCAGGAATTAATCAAATCGCATAAATGGTAGGGCTTTTATGACTAAAAGGTCCCTTAATAGAAAAGCACTACATGTATGTCTATTGGCATATTGCGAGACGTAAGCGACATTTCAGATAACAAATAAAGTGGTGAAATAAAAAGAAATAGTCAGAACAAAAACACGGAAAGTTTGAAAGCCCTTATACACATGCATTAGTAGAAGAAAAAAGTAGAAGGTTATCCCAGCAATCAGTGGGTCGTATGATGATTTTCTAAAACATTTGTACACTAAAATGTATGCAATTTGGAGACGTTTCTTTTAAGTCCTCGCTCTCCAATGAATATAACCCTCTATTAATTTCGTGCGTTCGAAGAGCATTTCTAGATTTACTTTCATAAGGAATGCTTGAAAACAAACATTTTGAAAGCCAGGAATTAATCAATTCGCATAAATGGTAGGGCGTTTATGACTAAAAGGTCCCTAAATAGAAAAGCCAAATTCATTTAAGGTTGTTTTTCCCTGAGGAATTAAAAACTAATTTATCAACGCAAAATTTTAGAATAGATGGTATAACTTATTTTAGAACCGACGCACTAACTACTGCTCTGATGATACTCTGGTAAACTAATAGTGTTATGGACCAAGTGATATATAATTTTAACGACACGTATAAATTTCGTGACAAGAGCATTAGGAACTAAGGTATGTACAATTTTATTCTTATTTTTAAAAGAGGGACGAAAGATACCAGAGGGACAGTCAAACTCATAGATCGAAAACAAACTGACAACGCCATGGCCAAAAATAAAAAGACAAACAGACAAATAATAGTACAGATGACACAACATAGAAAACTAAAGACTAAGCAACAGGAACCCAACCAAAAATTGGGGGTGATCTCAGGTGCTCCGGAAGTGTAAGCAGATCCTGCTCCACATGTGGCACCCGTCGTGTTGCTTATGTTATTGCAAATCTGGTAAATAGTCCAATTCGGTAAGTCACATTCGTGAAAAGGGAAGGGTATTGTATTTACGACATAAGGAACATATCCGATATCATCTGTGAAACGGTTATTCCAAAACGGTCAACCAACTCGTGATGGCGTCCGTAAAATTTACGAAGGGATGATTTCAACTTCACCATTTGGAACTCTTGGCTTAATAGCTTCCTTGTGAGCAGCAATCCTCTATCAAGGAAATCATGATAGGAAACACAAGCCCGGGAATATAGTATCAATTTGCAGATATATACTCCGTATGCAGGCGCTGCTGGAATGTTGCTACATAGAAATGAAAAGTTCAAAATTGGGAAGCTGAAATCATCTCTTTTGTCGTAAATTTTTGTTTTCAACCGACCCTCATTGTCAATTTCTAGATGTAAGTCAAGATATGAGGCAAACTTAACTGTATCTGTAGTATCCTTTATCTCTAGTTCGATGTGATAGATTCGTTCAACATAGTCACCAAATTTTGTATTATTTAGTGAGAGAACATCATCTATATAGCAGAACGTAGAGTTAAAGGATATTGCTAACTTCTTATCTTTCTTCCTAAGAAGCTCCTGTATGAAGTCAGCCTAATAATAATAAAGAAACAAGTCGGCAAGAAGAGGGGCACAATTAGTTCCTATTGGAATTCCGACAGTCTGTTGAAAAACACGTCCTTTAAACGTAACAAATATGTTGTCAATCAAGAAATCAAGCATCTTGATAATGTCAGTTTCAGAGAATTTTTTTGTTTGAATCAGAGTGATTCTTTACAAAGTAGGATTTATCCCTCCCCAAGACAAGATACTTGTATCTACGTTCAGCATTCTTTTTAATGAAACAAAGTAATACCAACTCTTTCAATTTGTCTTTTAGTTTGGAATGGGGAATACTTGTGTAAAGTGTAGAAAAGTCAAATGTTTTAATACTATTGCAAGATGACAGAGTCTTAGATTGTATGTACTCTAAAAGATCTTTGGAATTTTTTAGTATCCACATCTGATTCACGCCACCTCTAGAATAAGCAGTTTCATAAGTTACCTGAATATATTGTTTCGGTGTTAGATCCATCACATTTTGTTTTACCCCATCTGATGTATGTCACCCCTGAAAAAAATAACAACAAGAAACTTATTGTATTTATAGTACTTTTTAATGTAATATGTGTTTTCAGCCGTGTATCACCTTTAATGGTGATCCAATGGATGGAATATGTTGTAGAGTTGTCACTAGTTTAGATGTACTTATCAAAATAAGTATTTCTGTGACTGTATCTTACGATCCTTTACGATAGATATTTTGCTAATCTGCAATAAATTCCATCTTCATGCCTAATATATCATGTACTGTGTTACAACTCTATATTCTACTGACGAGGAAAGGTAACACTAGGCTGCCGGAAAGCTGAATTATAAGTTCTGTCTAGGTGGCCGATTGGTCTAGAGCGCTGGACACAGTGCAGGCAGTGTTGTTTCGATATCCAAAGAGTTCGAATCCCGGCTAGGGAAGAACAAAAATTTGCTCCTGCAAATTTGCAGATTTAACATTGTTGTGCTGTTATTTAGAGTAATTATATTATGTATTATGGTGTTAGACTTGTATAACGACGTGTTATCGGAAGAGAATAATGTCTTTCTTGAAGTTGTCACATATTTGAACGTGCATATATATATATATAAATTTATTATGTATTGAATCGTCTACTACTAACGATAGTACAGAAACACGAAAAGTTATCAATTTCTAAAGATGTATACAATGATACTGATAGAAAATATTTATATACGAGTGAAATAAACCAGTGCCCAAACCAAATCATAACGTAATACACTAAAATAATTTCAAAACTTAAGTCAATAGGTTCAACTTTTATAAATGATTATTTGAAATACATTCTTTAAACAACATCAGCGATATATTTAGTTTATGCCATTTGCTAAGGGACTTTCCATTTTGAATTCTCTTTTGCATTCGGTATGTTGGTTATTTTACCTTTTTTCATTTTTTTTTAAAGTTGACATTATTTGGTTATCAATATGCATGTGCTCGTAAAATGCAGTTTGACATCAATTATTGTTTTTCCTTGAATTTTTTGCTTCTTATTATTACCTGTCGGAACATGTCAGGTTGCTATTTCTTTCATTTTTCTTTCACTTTCGCACACGTAAATTATAAGTGCTACAACAATACCATTGATATTACTTCATACAAAGGTCAAATCGTTTAATTGGCTTCTTCAATTAATTGCTGGGGAAGTTGATACACAAAACGGACACCGTCTTTTTCTTGTTTAAACCATGAATAACAAAGAACATAGGGGGTAATTCATATTGGATCCATAATCATTCAAGTAAACAGTAAACAGTCAATCTACATTTACATCAAACGTCGTGGATACACAAATACTTAAGTTTTAGTATAAATTGTTTTACTTATATTATTTGTTAAAAAAAAAACACTTCATCAAAAAATTTAAATAACCGTGTTTAAGTGTTTATATATTTTCTAAATGTATTCAATATTTGCTCAAATAATGTTTTCTGTCAACAACAAAACAGGTTAAAGAATTGGAATTGGTAGATATTTAGCGGAGAAGAATTATATAAAATTCTTCATCCGACGGACGCCAAATGATGAGGAAAGTTCGCTGGGCTCTTTGAATAATATGTGTGTATGGGTAGTATTTTCGATGAATGGTATACTGGCCTTCAAAAGGCTTTTAAAACCCCCAATTAAACACATATCAAAGTCTCTCAATTGATTTTCTAAATTTTGGATGATTTTGTTCTCAGTCATTATCCAAATTTACATCATCATGTTTGAACATTAATTGTTTGACCTTTTGTATGTTTTCAAAATAAAAATGGTTATTGAAGAAGAAATTGATTAGATGAGTGATACTGGAGAAACTAGCTATGACTTTCTGTTCTCCTATTCCCGGTCGATGTAAAAAAATAGAACATTTCTGTTCATCCAGGTTTTACAAAGAAAAAAAAAAGATCAGACCTTATTCATCTTCAACTTTTGTAAAGTAGTTTAAGTCTCATATATGGTAAATACAATTAACCAAAGAAAACATATTATTGCATGCATCTCGATTTTTATATGAAAGCCATAATTTGTGCAAAAGAACATCAACACCTTGCATAGCCTTCCTATGTGAAGTTTAAATACGAAGTCTTATTTAATATTTATATAAAACCTTTACCGATAACATCATACGTTTTAAGTGGAAATTTGAGGATTTTTCCACACATACTAAACTTTCGTCAGTAGAACACGTGTTGGTTACATTAGCGTGTTAAGCAAGTCAAACATATGTAAAGTATATTAGTTATAATTACTTATAATTTAGCGCCGAACCTTTTTCATTTGAATTGAGTAGTTGATTTTCCACTTCAGCCAATTTTCTTTTTTCTGTGTTTTGTTGATTTTCTAGTTCAGCTTGTTTTCTTGTTCTAGTATTAAGTTGATTTTCTACTTCAGTAAGTTTTCTTGTCCCTGCCATTTGTTGATTTTCTACTTCAGTAAGTTTTCTTGTCCCTGCGATTTGTTGATTTTTCTATTTCAGTAAGTTTTCTTGTTCCTGCGATTTGTTGATTTTCTATTTCGATTAGTTTCTCTGTCTCTTTAATTTGGTCCTCTTTACTTTTAGCTACTATCTTTAATGCATCGAGCTCCTTTTCTATTATAGAAATTGCATATCATGTTACATTTTAAAGACATCAATTCGGACGAGTTAAAAAATCACAAAATAAAGTTTATAGATTTAAAGAAAATGTAGGGCATAGAACAATGAGACAGCAATCCGAAGACCAAAATATCAAATCATATTGGATTTTTTCCTTTCAACTGTCAACAGGTTAGTAGCTAGAAAATTAGTGAAAATAACACGTGCTTAAATTCGGCGATCCTACTCGCTTGTTTAGATATACCTTTAACGTGAATGCTCAAACCAACACACATGACTGCCAGAGATGTAAAAAGACATAAACATTAAAGCCAATATTTATGTTTGCAATTTTTAGACAAACTATTATCGTGTCTGTTTTCTTTACCTTTAAAGAAGTCGTAAAACTAGTGTAATACAAAGTCCTCTATTTGTTTTACTTCTCATTACCTGTTTGATCATGCTTAGTCGACATTTTCTCCATTTTTCTTTCATTTTCATACACGTACATAGCCATCAAAGCTACAACAATAGCATTTATGAATATTTGCAAATAGCTCATGTCCTTAAAATGCTTTCGTCAATTACACTAGTAATATCATAAACCACACGACCGTGTTATGAGGTCAATAACTATGAAGAAGATAGAACAAAGGGGGACAATTCAAATTTAATCCATAGGCACTCAGGTAAGACGATGAACGTATAGTGGACATTTAACATGTTTAAACCAAGTGTGTATAAACAAAAATTAAAGGTATTCAACACGGTATTACTTCAATGATTTATTAAACAAAATCATTCATCAAAACGTTTAAATAACCCTGTTTTGGTATTTACATTTGTATGCTTTTCAGCAACAGAACAGGTTTCGTGAATGGAAGTGGAAAAGATTTAAATGTATATGTATTCGTAATTGTAATAACAGTACAAATATTTATAAATAATTTCTATACTCACAAAGTAAAAATTCAAAACGGAAATACTTCACGGATATACCCTAGGAGCAGATACTTTAGTTTTAAAAAATAACAACAGCAAAAATGCACAGTTAATGAATTGGCAGATTTGTAGTTATGTCATATACACTTTCAAAGCACATTTTCTCTTTATAGTCAAAATTTCGACCAAAATAAAGTTCAAAGTTCAACAATTATGGCCTTTGGAATTCATTCATAATATTAATCAATAACTTCATCAGTGATTGTTTTTTATAGCTCATTATTATGTTCTTTGCAGAGTTAGTAATTGTGAAAAACCTTCGATAGTCTGTGACTAAATATATATTTAATTTACAACATTTATTTTTTTTTACGATTTAGAGCTTGCTTTAATGTTAAGATATTAGACTAATCATTTAATCGGTATATTGCCCTAATCGTCTCTTTTGTGATGTTATATTTTTAGGAGTATTGTCTCCTCCTTGTTCATGTTTTTTTTTTATTTATTTATTTGCTTATACAAAATACACTATAACACTCGTGATACTTTAACAGTGGAAGACTCAAGACAAGGCTCCAAAATATCGAGATAAAGTAGGTAATTTTAAGACACATTTTTTAATCAAATAAATTCCAGTCACATTTTTACCTATTATGTCCGTTTGTTTTGTTTACACATCGTTGTCAATATAATGGAATTTTATGCGACTGTCATACAAGTGAGAGATTTAGCTAGCTATAAAACCAGGTTTAATCCATCATTTTCTACATAAGAAAATGCATGTACCAAGTCAGGAATATGACAGTTGTTATCCATTCGTTTGATGTGCTTGCGCTTTTGATCTTGCCATTTGATTACGGACTTTCCGTTTTGCTTTTCCTCGGTAATTTTGTTATTTTACTTTTTTCAAAACTAATATAGTATAACAATCAGTCTTGAGTTTCGCTAAGCATCAGTGTTTGAAAAAAATATTTCAATATTTTAACTACATTTATTAACTTTGCCATGAAGGCAGCCTTTTAAAACAGTTGTTTCAGCAGCAATGTATTACCCGAGCTATAAAAAGAGGGTATAAAATGAAGCACATGAAGAGCATGACCGTCCACATACAACCGTACCGATCCACGGGTATTAAAATACACCTTACTTCACCAATGTTAATCCCCGTGATACGTGTTTTTTCAATATCAAAATGGAAAGCCAAAAATACTAAAAAATACACTATATAACTCAACATCAGAAATTTTAATAAAATTTGTACCATATTCCCAGTCACATATTATTTAAAAGATCAAATGTCTACGTGAATATTTGAATAACTACAATTTTAAGAACAAAATTAAACAAATTGATTGATTGATTGTTGCTTGATTAAAGTTTAGTGGCAAGCAATTTACTCATAATCAAAACGAGAAACTATTAACTATATATACAATAGACAGTTTCCGCAAGGTTTGACGACACTGATGAAGGGCGGAAAATTTGGAATGCCACTAAAAAATAATAGAATGGTGGACAAGAGTAGAAATTTAGTCTTGATACAAAGCCCTTACTAAATCCTCAATGAGTTGTTGCAAGGGTTCTTTGTTGTGAAGAAATGATGGAATTTCACTAACAGGTGCCATAAGATTTAACGTCCCTATTATAACCGGTAATGGCTTCGAATTGATATATCACGCACAGCCAACCGGTTGCCCATCATTGACAAGTGTCGGAAGAAGATCAAGGTGACCATATTTCCATATCTCAGTCACTTTCCAAGTGTCTCAAATAAGGAAGGAACGCAGTACTGTCGTAATTAGTTTCTTGCAATTCCAGTGTCCCTTCAGAATATTGACAGATTACTTTAAAATAATGTAATATGTTGTTTGTGATAAAGGAATCATCTAGTTCCTTTTTCCGCCTATTTTTCAACCATGTGTTTCTCTATTTAAAAACTGTCAATACTTCCTTATAGATTAATAGATTTGAGCACATAGTTTTCAATGTTTGGGATTTATTCTTTTATATCCCACGCAAAGCGATGCGGGAGACATGGAAATAGCGGATCTCTGTCCGCGTGTCCGTCCAGTACTATAAGCGCATCAATTGTTATTTTTATAAAATCAATATAAAAGATTTACCGCAATATCTCAGAGGAGTTGAGTTCGAAATTAGTGTCAATTAAACTTTTTCCATTTGTATTTCCCCTTGGGAATATAAACTAGATGGACAATTGCATGCGAAGCGCTCTCAAGTCAAAGTTTCTTGTTGGATTATTTTATATCAGCAATGTCCTGAGCAGGTTCGAATATCTGCGCTGATACTATTTTACGGGAATCACAGCTCTTGGAAAGGTATTTTTAAGAAAATGCCTGTACCAAGTCAGGAATATGACAGTTGTTATCCATCCGTTTGATGTGTTTCAGCTTCTGATTTTTCCATTTGATTAGGGACTTTCCGTTTTGAATTTTCCTCGGCGTTCGGTATTTTTGTGATTTTACTTTTTTTTATAAGAAATTGCATTTTTAACTCAATGGTTTATATTAATAATGTGTTGGAAATGAATGATAAACAAAAAAATACATAAATACATAAATAAATAAATCATTTATAAAAATGATAAAAAAAATAAATAACTACTTTTGGAAATACGTTAGAGGTAACAACAGTCATGAAATTTCTGAAAACAAATACGTTAAATGTATAAAAAGTCATGACATTTCCTAATGCAATGGTTACTGGTTTTTTGATGCAATATTTTCTGATACAACATTTCCTAATTCAATAATTCTGATGCAACATTTCTTAGATTACTGGTTTTCTGATGCAACATTTCGGATGCAACAATTTCTAAGCAACATTTTAAAAAATTTCAGGATCGACGGAAAATGAAATAATGTTTTATGTATGTTTTTCATTTGCCTGAACTATGCATATAGTAATACTTCTATATATTTTATCGAACATTTCTTTCAACTTCGACTGAATTTTTCGTGAATGCCGTTGTAAAAGTGCGTTAAATAGTGGAACAGATTGCAGATGCTTGACATACATGTGCTGTATATGTAACAAATCGATTTGTCCAAAACGTAGTGTTAAAAAACATCGAACAGAGCAACACAACAATTGCGCAATCCAATGTTATGTCTGAAAAAAACTTCTTTCATGCGCAGAAGCTTTTATAAACCACATCAGTTAAAACGTTTTACAAAGGAAAGTGAATGCTACAAACAATAATTTATGAAATTTCATCATTTATTTCACACGTTTCAGGATATTAAATTGGATTTACCAGCAAGCAAATGTAGAAAAGTAGAAAATGATGAACAAGTAAATAAACTTAAATCAGTTGACCTCATACTAGTAATAAGTTATAAAATGTAATGTGTAGAATACATCTGTAAAATTTTGATACTCCTTGTGACGGGGATAGGAACATATCACCATGGCCTTGTTTGTCATAACTAAAGAAATCTAAAGTAAAATTAAATATAATCTTGATTTACAGAAAACTTACAGTGTTTATAGAGGTTTTATCGTGAGTATCACAAGCCCAGGAGTCGGCACTTCTGTGTTAACATGAATTATAATTGATATGGTCATAATTATAAATTTACTTTATACAAAACTTTGACTGTTTCGAAATTCTTAGAATTTTTACCCCTAGGTAAAGATTACCTTCTCGGTATTTTGCAAAGCCTTTTGGAATTACGAATCTTTAATGCTCTTCAACTTCGTATTTGATTTGGTTTGATTTTGATTCGAGCGTTACTAATGAGTCTTTTCCGATGAAACGCGCGTCTGGCGTACAGAAGTTTAATCCTAATATGTATGATGAGTTTCTTGTCATCTTCGTAGTGATATTAAGGCACTTTACAAGAAAAATGCGTAAAATCGTATGTTATATGGAAGTGCATATCAGAAGAAAATGGCAAAAAATCAGGAAAACAGGGATCGTAGTATGAAACATAAAGACCTATATTTAATCTTGCATGGGTTTTTCATATCGAAAGTGAAAGTAGTCACATTCTTTATGTGCCTGTTCCAAGTCACAAGCCTTTAGTGCAGTGGTTGTTGTTGGTTAATGTACGTCTTATGGAATTATATCACATTTACTGGGGCCTTTTATAGCCAATACTACAGTATGGGGTTTCTCATTTTTAAGGGCTTTAGTGGCTAAGTATATTTGCTTACAAACAATTGTACATCTACTTCATTTAAACTCTAGTGGGTGTGTTGTGTCAATGGCAATGATAAGACATCTCATTCTTTGCAGTATATGAGGACAAAACATAATCTGTTTTGTTACTCAGCTCAACAGGATAGAAATGAGGCAGGCGAGAATTCAAATTATACGTGTGTTTATGTCTTGTATACATTTATTTTTATTTTATTTTGAGACCATGTATATTTATATTTAATCTACAATGTATATTTCGCAATTATGCACCTTGATCAGCTTTACAATCACACCATTGTCCTTATAATAGATATTAAGAGATTCTTTCAATGGCAAACACATAACCTTATTATTTTCATGCCCAACCAATATCAATAAAAAAGTACAAAGTGGGTATACTATAAGCAGGAATAATTGGTATGCGATTTGCTCATTGTTGAAGGCCGTACAGTAACCTGCAGATGTTTTTAAATTTCTCTGTCCTTTTGTCTCTTTTGGAGAGTTGTCTCATAGGCAATGATACCATATTTTCTTATTTTTATAAGGAATGCTAGTCATC